TATGTTTTAAAATGGGTTTTTGGGCTGCAAAAAAACCCTTTTTACACCTTTCCGGTATTTTATGCCTCTTTCGAAGAACGATTATTCTGGAAAAGTTCTTGAAACTAGATGGCGTTTTCATCCCAAACATTATCGACCCATACCTGAGATTTTTTTCCTTTAGTTCTTTTTTCCCTTGAACTTTAGCAATTTTAGAAAGTAAGATACATTTCAATACTTAGCTGTACTATTAAGGAACGGTCTGCTTATGGTCACCAAATGTAAAAGAGCCACTCGTAAAGATGCTCGCCCACCAAGCCTCAATCAAAGGCATGGATATAGACCAAACTGGAAAGTATATGATTACTACGGGTCTTGACCGGAAGTGCAGGTAGTGGGCTGATGGGAGTTGGAATAGGCTATTTATGTTGTGCTTTAGAGTATGGGATGTGCGAATGTACAAACAATTACATGCTTATTCTCTACCTTTCGGTCTTTCTCATGTTGCCGTCAGTCAACGTATGGCAGTAGCCTGTGCGATAGGCAATACAGTTCAGGTTAGCACCTTTTTTATCCATAGATTTTATTTTTTAGAATTTTTTCCCATCTTTTCCGTGAAAATGGGAATGAAATGACAGTCGTCAAAGCCCCTAGTTGATGTTTATTTGAAGATTTTTTCACTTTGCATACTCAGATCTTCAAAGACATGCATCTCGGTGTATGTCACGAACCCTACCTTGCACATCGCCTCAGTGGTCCAGTTTCGGATCTCGCGTTTGTTCCTTACGAAGACGTCCTTGGTGTTGGACATGCGAATGGATTTACCAGCATGCTGGTGCCAGGTAAACTTTGGTATCGCCAGCTGTGGAATTGTTGAAAATCCATGAATTTTTTATCTAGGGGCCGGCGAAGCAAACGTTGATGCGACAAGAGCAAATCCATACGAAACGAAGAAGCAGAGAAGGGAACGTGAAGTGAAACAACTTCTTGATAAGGTTTGTTCACCTCTATTTTTGTAAAATATCATTTTTTTCCAATGCTTGCTTTTTCAGCTCCAACCTGAACTTATCACTTTGGATCCCAAGGATATTGCTCGTGTAAATGAAGACTTACTAGAGAAGGAAATGGAAGAAAGAAAGAAGATTTTGTATGTTCGCCCAGTCCACATCGAATATACACCGAAACACAAAATGCGAGGACGAGGCACAGGATCGCATAAGGTGGGAGAACGGCTTTTGCTATTTCACTGATAAAATGTATTTTTCAGGAGCTTCGAAAAAGTATGGTGGTTGATGATATTCGAAAAGAACGCATAAATGAGAAGAGAGAAGTTGAAAAAGAAGTGTTTGGAACTGAGAAAACGGAGTCTTCCAAGCCAAAACAATTACTCGACAGATTCCGAAAATAGTTTGCTAAAGGCTCATTATTGTTTATTTTGTTGTTTTGCTGTTCTTCTGTTGAATCTTTAGTTGTTGATGCTCATTTGTTGAATTTTAACCATGTGATTAAATTCATTCAATACCAGAAGTTTTATTGCATTTTGATTTTCTCAATTGTTACAAACCTAGCAATAATCATACCCGACAATCGCAAAACAAAGTAAGAAATCAACAAG